AAGTGCTTGATATGTTTAGGTTATCTTAAAGGTGAAATTAAAAAAAATATTGATATGCTAAAGGAAAGTCTAATAAAAAAATTAGGGCAAATAAATTTATTGATGAAAGAAAGAAAGTATAGTTGAGAATAATATAGATAATGCTGAAATAGTGATGGGCAATACAACATTGGAGGAATTAGAATTCGTGAAAAAATCATTTTTTGAGTTGTAATATGTATATATTTTTTTATTTAATAAATTGATAATAAGATTTGCTTTAATTATTATTAAAAACAATTATTTTAATATTACTGTGATATTACTACAAAATTACACATTTTTGGAATTGAGCAAAAATTAAAAACCTTGAATTACTTAATTATTATATAATTATTAAACTGACAATAAAATTAATACAATTAATATGTCAAACTTATCTTCCCATCTTAAAACCTATCTTCTTTTATTTCTCTTTTACGTTAAAGTTCATATCTTATAAATATATTTATAGTCAAATGATTTGCCTCATGTTGAATATCTATCATAATATATCATAAATTTAGGGTAAAAAGTTGCTCTAATAAACGAATTTATTAAATTTTATGTCTCTTAGTTGATAAATTTAATAAATTTTAAATATTTACTTGTCAACTTGAGGTCGAGACAATACACAAGATCAGAACATTGTATAATACTGGATATACATGGGTGCCTAAATTGCCCATTTTAATAAAAAAGTAATTACGGTATTTAGGCAGCCGAAATTAGTTTTATATAGTGCCAAAATTAATTTTCATATTTGCTGAAATTATTGCTGAAATTTTTTTAACTTTTTTCATCAAAATACATTATACAATATAATTATTTTGAAGGGCTTCATATAAAAAATTTAGCAATGCTGAAATGTTTACCGAAAATACAATTTTTAAAAATAATTTAGGCACCTATGTATAATACTAGATATTATATACACAGGTCGAATGAAGCAATACTGGATATTTATCAGTATGCTGATATGTCTCCTAAAAGTTACCGATATGTATATGACAACTATCTCCTAAATTAATCTGAAATATTACTGATAAGTAACTGATTTGAAACAGATTTTTGATGCAAATCTGAGACTTTTTAGTAATTATTAGGTATCTTTTATTATAACATTCATAGTCCTATCGGTGGTCCTGATAATATTTTTAAATAAACCTGATAGGTATCTTGTAGTTCTATTAAGTATAAAAATACTAGATATTTATTAGTTTTTTTTTAGGGACTTATCAGTATATCCAATAGAGCTATTTACTAATTTATATTTATCAATTCATAATTCGATAACTTTTATTTATAATAAAAAAGTATAACTCACATATAACATATTATTAAAAGCAATATCTCAATTGTAATTCGCATATGCTACATATTATGCAATTGCTAATACTAATACAAATAATATAATTTTTTTTACAAAAAATATGCTATATTAACTATATGTAGTACAATGTCTAAAGCTATAAAATAAAAAAATAATATGTTGCTGTTTTGGTAGAATTTCTATTTACTGGAAATATCATTTGCATCGCCAGAATAGGACCCCAAAGATCTCTGATATAACTTAGAGGTTACTAAAAAAGGAAATTTTGTGTAGAAATTCATTGAACGTTACATTTTTATACAGTAAAATTTTAAATTTTGGCTTATTTTATACATCTATTTAGCTGATATTATACAAACTCAGATCTAAGTTGTATCAGAGTTCTTCAGGGTCTTGCCAAATTGTCATGTTTTTTATTATTATTGTCGGTTTCATTCTGGGATTCATCATAATTGTCATACAATTCGTTGTAATTTCTATTAGTGTTATCTTCAGTGCTTCTTCTGGTGCTTCTTGCACCTCCATTATTGCTACCGCTACCACTACTACTTGGAACTACTTCTTCTTCATTGTCGTTATCTTCCAGAATGTAAGAAGAAGTAATGGACTACTTAGGAGCATCGTTTGGAGATTTTGATTTATCAACCCATCTGTTATCATTGTACCACCACTTCCTTGACAATTTAATGTGGGATATTTTTTCTTCCATTTCATCAGCCAACTGCAAAATTTTTTTAATCTATAGTTAAAATAGAATTAAAAATAAATAAATAAATTTAAAATGAAATAATAAAAGGCATACTTATTCTATGAGATCTCCAGGGCTTATCGTAAACATGGAGAACATAGTTATCAATCTTTTTATTTGGACATATTTTTAGTCATTTTTCTGTCTTTGTAAATTCAACATCTGTTTTTGAAATTTCATCAGAATAGTAGCTTCTATCGTTAATAATATCTTCAAGATCTTCTTTAAAATTGTCAAAATCCATCAACACTGCAAGGTCTTTAAGGTTTTTATCTTTGGTATTGATCATATGACCAATACTACGAATTTGCCTTTTCTTTTTCTACAAATCATAAATTTAAAAAAAAAAAACAAAAAAAAAAAAAAAACTATTCATTTATTAAAAAAAAAAAAAAAAAAAAAACCGTTCATTTATAATAAATGTCGGCAACCTGGTAGTTTTATAAAAATGATTCACACTTACATCAGAATGTTGAGTATTTACTCCCTTTCTTTTCTATTGACTTTCGATTTATCCTCATCTTGATCTATAGACCATTTCTTATGTCAGTGCGGTGAAGGCTTTGGAGGATATACTTAAATTCACTAATTTTATATCTAAAATAATCATCCAAAGCCTTACCGATCGCTGGCATGGTTTGTTTGAATATTTTTTCATAAATTTCTATCCATTTTTTTGACAGATCAAGCTGCAAAGAATTATCAAGGCTATCTAAGATATTGACTACCTCATTCTAATTAAATAAAGATAATTAATAACTACAATACTATTAATTATTATAATAGCGTTGACATACATGAAAAAGCTTATATTGATCAGAATCTATATCTTCCAAGAGCTCACATGGTCTTTTTTTATAACCAGTAGGAGGTTCCAGAGTTACTGAGGGCTTTTTTTGATTTCTCTCATGAACATCCTGCTCCTTTTGCTTACCCTTGTCTTTATTTGTGATAGCTTTGTTCATACTAGTGTTGCGAAGTACTTCAGTAGTTTCAATAGTTTCATTAGTTTCATTAGTTTCATTAGTTTCATTAATTTCATTAGCTTCTTCAGATGCTCCAGTAGTTTCATTATTTTCAGATGCATTAGTAGTGTTAGTATTTTCAGATACTTCATTTGGTTCATTTTCATAGGTTGTTTGATTATCATCATCCACAACATATACTAGACAATCTTTTGGTACAGTTGATTTATCGGCTTTTAATATTCTTACTTCATTAATCAGACTTTGCACCGTAGTTGTTAAAAGAGCGATTTCTATTAATATAAATCCTTTGTTAGACATATTGATAATTCAATAGCTCTATTAGTAAAAACATTTTGCTGCAAAGCTAAACCAAGCAAATCTTATAAGATTTGCTTGTTTTAGCTTTGTGGCACTTTTTTTTTTATATATATATCACCTTTATCCTTTTGTTCATTAGGACTTCTTGAGCAGTGGCGAGAACGTTTGTTTGCTAGTAAAATAGATCTTCAACTATGACTCCCAGTATCTTGATAATTTCTATTAACATTCTGATTCGAAGTTTCAGGTTGGCAGTTAGGCAGTATGTTGAAATGACGGTGATTTCTGTGAGGTGAAGTTACAGAGTGACAATTATTTCGATGAGGTGAAATTTCAGAGTGATAATGGTTTTGACGAAGTGGAGTTTTAGAACAATAATAACTATGGCTTTTATATTGGTTTCCATTAGAAATAGACTGGTGGCCTTGCCAATAAGGTACTGTTGATCGTAGTGGTGTACTTTTTTGAGGTGACATAGATAGAAAAATTGAATGTCAACTTGAAATAATGTTAATTCAGTATGAAGTTCTACCTTGCATTTTCCAAAATTAGATCAAAAAAAAATTTATATGGATGGAGTTATCAGATATTCTGTTACTTTAATTTGAAAAAAAGGAAAGAGACAAGAAAAGCAATTTCTTTTATATAAATTATACTTTATTTATTAAGTAAGCTTTAATTTTATATAATAGTATACAATATATAGTGACGGATATAGTAATGATATTTATGAGCGAAGAAAATGTCAAATAAATAGCACTAAAAGAAAAATGATACGAAAAAGTCAAACTTGATAACGTATATTAAAAAATACATGATCTATTTATACTTTTTATAGCCAGGTCTTATTTCTGAAAAACAATGTGATTACATTTATAATTGCGTTAGATGATTTTAAAGCACTGTTAATTTAATATCGGGCTTAAAATTTACAATCAGTTATAATATATATTATTATATAATCTATTATATTATTATATGATCTATATATTGTAAAATTAAAATTTATACTACAAAATTAGTAAATAACTTCATTGAACACGATTGAAGAATTACTGAAATATGGATAACTTTTTGCTAATTCAAATCACTTAAAAATTAAATCAAAAAGTTTAATTTCTGATACACAAAGTAAAAAAAAATTATATAGACCGATTTATTGATTTTGTTGTATAAAAAAAATATAGAAAAATCAAAAG